ATTATTTATTTTAATATTAATGATTTATTAATTTGAATAGAAGGAATTGAATTTTTTTAAATAAAATCTTAAATTTGTGTTTGTAAATAGATAAATAAGTGTTTTTATAGGTTTGATGTTACTCAATTTCGTATTAAATCCATGATTTTTGAATATCAAAGTTGGGTGAAAAAAATTACCTATTTTAATTAATCAAAGTTGGCATCAAAATTAAAAAAGACTCGTGAAAAACATCCTGCAAAAAAAAAAAGAAAATCGAGCAGAATAATTCTGGACAAGACAAAACTTTCCAGCTTTTAATATATACCGAACGGGCGCTTAGCCGAAGGTGTGAATCCAGCGAGCACTGGATACTGATTCACTGAATCTGAGCAGAGACTCCTCTCCTCCCTCCGTCTTCTTATTGCCCGATATCCGTCGTATGGAGGAAGAAGAAACTGATGAAGCAGAAGCAAGGCAAGGAGATGGGGTCGGAGTTCGTGGCAATGGGAGATCGTCAAGGTTTCCTGTGCCAGCAAAAGTCTTAGGAATTCTGCCTCTGATGAGTCTCTCTGGTCCAAATTCTGCTTTGATGAGCTTCATCTATCATCCCTTCAAGACTCTCTAGGAAACCCAGTTCCCTCTTCCAAGGTAATTGGAAAAAAAAGGGCATTTTTTTAAAAAAAAAAATTTGTTTCCCAATTTACCACTCTCATTGCCAGAGCTTTATCATGTTACATTGTTAATTTTTCACCTTTTTATTTTTACATTGATTCGTGATTGAAATTTGAAACGGGTGATTTTGGAATAATTTGGGGTGAATTGGATATTAGGTTTTTGGAGAAGTAGAGAGAAGTGCTTCAATTTGGTTTATTTATAATGTATGAATTAAGTAGAGATTAATCAGGGGAGAACAATTCCTGAAAATTATTTGAAGACTAGAAGTGTTGGTAATGCTCTCTGGTTGTGTATTTTCATGCAGCTTATCAATTATGTAGAGAACTAAGAAGCTTTTACCATGTACCCATGGCCACTTGTTCTTTGAGTGAAAAGATGTCGGGGAAAGGTTAAAAACTGGTTGAGCCAGATGAAAAATTAGAGTGCCTCTACTAAATGTGAAATTGCCTCTTCCTACTAGGGTTCTCTATCATTTTCATGATGGCCAAGAGATGCCTGGCAAGGAGCTAACAGTTCACTTTTATTTGGGAATTATAGGTGGCTACTCTGTCTACAACCTTTTGGTTAATGTCAACTTGTTACCTCTCTTAGTCAGGTGATTGTTAAGATGAGTAATGTATTACGTTGCTGGGTTTTATCATGCAGAACTAAGTACATTGTCGTTGTTGCTTCCTTGACTACTAGTATGAAGGTTTTTTTTTCCCCAACTGTAATAATGGCCAACTCTATGTCAGTGCGAGGCATCTTCTGACTGATGGGAACAATGGTTCAGTGTGTTCCAAATTTGCTCATTCGATCCATGCATGAATCCAGTAGGGATCAATGTCAGGATGCCATTTTGCTATCGTTAGAAGAACATGGTTGCCACTTGGAAAGTGAAATTATCAGAGTTCGTGAACAAGAAAATATCAATGGCATCAGCCTTTTTCTGGAGTTTCCTCCCTTTTATGTTCAGTAGCAGTGATAAAGGGTGGTCAGGTAAGTAAAAATGCCAGTGGTACATGGGCTAGTTTAATACCTTTATTTAGGAAATCAGGACAGTTGTAAGATTTTAAATTTTACGCCACACTTTTTCATTGCTGTTATTAGAGAAGCTATGTATATGTTTAAGTTCTGAAAAGCTTCTCTGCCCTATAGATGGGTGACCCTTTTCATCCTGACATTTCTATATATGCTTTTCCACCATTGTTGTTTGCAAGATCTGCAATAAGTTCCATTTTCATTATTATTTTCTTTCTAAGAGTACTTATTGAGTTCTTTCCTACTCCAGATTTGTGCGTCTGCTGTCTTGGTTCCAGAATTCACCAACCTTCACCTTCAAGACAACTTTGAGAGGAATTTTTTTGCTTATTCAATCTGCATGTCCCTCCTTCCTGAAGGTTGTGTCATCAATGGAGTGACCTTCAATTCCTGCTAACTTTATTGGAGACACTGGCTCATTCGTTATGATGCTAAAGTATCCGATTTTTATGAAGAGGCATTGATAGGAAAGGTAATATTGGCACAATTAATATTCATCATGTGTTGGAAAAATTAATGAAAACTTTCTGTGATGGGAAGGTAATGTTGATATTTCAATAAATACTTTCATGTGTTGGAAAAATTAATTTCCACCAGTGAAGAACTCCATCTTTCTGATCCTTTTCTTGACATTTTGGTTGCCTAAGGTTTTATCAAAATTAGAACTTGCAATGTCTCAGCTTCCCAATTATCTTGTAATCACCAGACCGCTGTAATATTCTTCATTTACTAAGATGTTAATTAATAGGGGAATTTCATTTCTGGAACTAAGGTTGTTGATCTCACTCTTTTTATATCCTTGTAGTTCCCTCTCTTGCGCTTTAGTGAGAAGAATTCGTTTACGAGAAATGGGAATATCTACCAGCTTTCTCAGGTTCTGCTGAAGGCTATTTAACGTTTGTCCTGGCAGGTAATCTGCATTATATTTTACATGATTAAGTGGTGTTATAACTACCAAAATAATTAATAAATCTTGTTACACCCTTAGAAAATTATGTAATGTTGCATTTATGACGTGCATGGATGAGAGATTTTATCTGCATTTACCAATCAATGTTCTGATCTGGATCGGTATTGCTTTTACTGGCCAGTCCTCCTGCGTATGAATTCTGGCTTGAATGTATAATGATGTAATGATGCATATATGTCGTGCATGGATGAGAGGCTTGAGCTGCATTTTCTAATTGATGATCTGATCTGATCTGGATCGGTATTACTTTCTATGGTCGGTCCTGGATTTGAATTTTTGCTTGAACCTTATTTTGAATGTGTAATGAAGTAATGATGCATTTTTATCATGCATGGATGAGAGATTTGATCTGCATTTACTAATTGATGATCTGATCTGGATTGGTAATACTTTTTCTGGTCAGTCCTGGTTTTGAATTTTGGCTTGGATCTCTTTTCTTTTCTTTTCTTTTCTTTTTTTTCGGTGTTAGAATCTTAATATGAATGCATTGGGCCCAAAAAAGAAAGAGGATCTCCAACTACTTGACCTTTCTAATCATCTCATTCTCTTCTCATTTAGGTTGGCAGACCGTAAATGTGACCCATTTGAAGTTTAGATGGCCAGCTTCCCCCTACAGCTGTTGGATTATGTTTTCTGATAGCCTTTTGCATGGCTCTCCAGAAGCACGATAAAGGAACTGATAATGAACATCTCTGTTAATCAGTAGGTGAAGACTTTTTTGATCCTGACTTTCTGTTTACGTTTCTCCATGATTCCGAGATTGTTTGTCTTAAATCAAAAATAATACCATGCTTCTGTTTTTGTATTGTTGTGGCGTTTGAATGCCTTAAATAAATAATAGTACCATGTTGTATTTAACTATGTAACTGAATTATAAAACATGTATTAGTAGACAAGAAACAATTATTATTTCTTATCTAAAGTTTAAGTTCTGTAGTTTGGACAGAATAATTTTTTTCTTTTGTCATATAGCTTTTCTCGTAGAAGAGTAATTTACTTTCTAACCCTCTGGAAAAAGCATAGTCAAAATCACTTTAATCATTCACGTTCGAACCGTAATGCATTGATTAGCTAAGCTATTAACGTGGTACGTCTGGCATGAACAAGTACTTTGAAGACATTTAGAGGGCATTCCCACAACTAATTCAGGAAGGTATTACATCAACAGTAGAATCATTCACACATTTAGCCAAAGATTTTGAGAGATACAGCTACTATGAAGGACAATCAAAAGCAGAGAAGCTGCTTGGAGGAGGGAAAGGTATTTTAGTATCTGATTCTTAATTGGAACTGCACAGTAGCATTGCGCATTTTTTCAAACTGGAGTTTATGTCCAAACTAGAGATTTTGGAAAAGTGTCCTTGTAATGTTTTAGACTGAGGGTTGATTGATGTTGGATCTTAGACATCATGCTATTGTCCTATTTTCTGTGCTGTTTTTTTTTGCTGAAAATATTATGGGCTAGAAATCAGTGTTAATGGTTGGTTTCATTAGTGGTGT